CATAGGACCAAGGAGAGAGAAAATATGCTCTGAACAAATGAAATCAGACGAACAGATGATACCAATATACTGACTGATGGTCACTATAGGGCAACTGACCATATAATTAATTCACCTAGCAATTAACATCAGCTTCAAGCATCAGGACCATAAAAATAAAAAAATCAGTAGAGCTCACTTTTGATTTCAGTCTCACTAATTTCCACTATTCATTCCTTTGGCAATATTATTAACATGAGTAAGAATGTCTCGGATCAAAAGTGAGCTCGTTTAAGTTTTACTGCCTCTTTAATGTTCATGTCTTGACATTTACATTATGTACATTGTACTGATACATGTATTTGTAATAATTTATAGTTACTATTAACTATTTCACATGCAAATTGAGGTAAAAATTCTACTTACTAGGAAGAAGTTTGATACACTGTGCAACATCAGGATTAATCAAACTAAGTTTGTCAGCAGAATGGTTAAACTTCTCTCTTTCAAAATACCTAGAAATGACAATAAACAAATATAGGCTACATATACCTGTCATACACAATAAATATGAGAAATCATTGAAGCTTACCTTTTAATTTGTCACATGATGCTACATTCTAATTTAGGATTCTGTGTATGGAATAAAATGAGGAATTGGGGATTACAGAGTTCTTGAAATCTTTCGGTCCTGTCGGCAAGACCGATAAAAACAACCAAGGACCGATAACTTTACGTTCTGTGTCAGTCCAAATGACCGGTAGACGTTGAAAGAGCAACTTGTGAAAATCCGACTATTTGTATGAATTCCCTATTACCGACAAATCATAATCTGTTACCGGTAAATGCTTTTCAGTATCTCGTAATGGCTTCTTTGATGAACGCAAGTACCAAACTATGATTGATTAACTGTTAAAACAAGTTTTTTGACGGCGCTAGGGTAAGCCAGGCGAGAAAATTGAACTACATTAAAAACTTTAGAAGAATTCAACAAAAATTGTTATTCAGTGATCAAATCGGCATGAAGTGTGCAGTGTGTATTGACGCAGGGTGCAAAATGTATTGATAATTCATAATAAAATTCAAATACAGTTTTCATCTTTTTATTGAATTTTTTTTTGGGACCGATAGAAATCTGTCTGGACTGACAAACTTCCCATGGCAGTCAGTCCAAATGACTGACAGCGAAAAAAAGATTTCAAGAACTCTGGGATTATCATGGATGCTGGATGTAATTGACTCTACATGTATTTACACTGAACATTCTGATTATTTTTGTTTCTTGTTTAATGTCCCTCTCGAGAATTTTTCACTCATATGGAAATGCCACCATATGCCGGTGGAGAACTTCAAATTTTGTCTTATACTCGGCACTCATGGCCATCAGAAAATGAGGGATCTTTTTTGAGCCCACACCTACTGTAACACCTACTGTAACACAGGACTTCAGTTTAAACTTTTTCATCCAAACTGAAAGGACCAGTTTCTATAAGTCCCAATGTAAAGCATTAGCATGTATATAAGGAAGTGGACATCAGTTTTTAGCTGATATCTATTAATTGAAGAAAAAACAAAACACATGCCAAGGAGAGGTGTGTTATGGATTACTTGAATCTCACAGTTTGCTTTATTTGACTTGAAAACAAACTCATTGTGTTGTAAATAATAATGTTTTAAACTTCCTACTATATATTTTTATTCGCTTTGATAAGGATTGTAGAAAAAATGATCATGTTGATAAAAGGAGATCATAATTCATTGTATTTACATGTATAAAGTTACTCAACACTAGCTTCATGTTACAAGAAATTATCATGAACATCATGAACATGATTTCAAGCAAGATGATGCAATAGACATGATAGAGTAGTCTTAAAATTTAAATCATTTGAAACACCTTCTTATAAAACAGGAAAATAATCCTCGTTGTAAAATAATAATGTGTTTTCAGTAATAGCTGTAAAGTGGCAATGGAACATGTACAGTAGCTGTCAAATGATGAGGGATTTTAAAAATTTACTGTCTTAGTGTCTACATCATAGCAGATGTTTAGTTTTTAACCCATTCAATTATAAATCTGTGTTTACTGCCCAAAAAGTTTTGCCCTCTCTATGCGCAGTATCGTAAACCAAGCCAAAAAAATCAAGTGTAAATAAGGCAACGTTACCCGTCATTCATAAATCTCGTCACGCATGAGTGCTCGGTCAACATTAGAGCCCAAATGTTCTGTAAGGTCACTCGAAAAGTTTCCAAGAGACAAACGGCGTAGATTATACTTACTCGAAGCAAAATCCCAAAAGTTTGTCATTCAACCATTTCTGGTCGTCTAGTAAGCTGACATCAGCTTTATATAGCAGACTATCGTGAAAATTCAACACAACATCGTTTGACTCGTTTTCCATGATCAACTAGCACTCCATGTTCTGATTATGGTGCATCACTTCCGGGTCAGAGGAAAAAATTGGAGGGGTTCCGAAATGTGACAATTGGCGGGAAATTATGAAAAAGTGCAGAATGTAGCTTGACTTTATTTTGAATAACACGAAGCAAAATAAAGATTTATTGATAGATAAGTTGAAAATCTTTGACAAGAAGCAATGGAAACTCTTTACTGGAAACTCTTTACTGTGAAGACATGTACTTCTAGATAGGGAAACTCTTTACTGTGAAGACGTACTTAAATTCTAGATGTTCTATCGTTGAAATGAAAAAAAAAACTAACCCGGTTTCTGACGAAAAAAAATTTCTACTTCTACTTCTATTTTAGTTGTAAGAGGAATTGAATTTTTTTTTCACCGACCCATCACACAGGTTTGACGTCAGACAAGAGGTGCATATTAAAAGTTGAAAATCATCTAGATCAGTTGTAGGTGCAGGATAAAACAGTGGCTGCCGCTCATCTCTGCCCAACTCTCGTATGTGTATACGTACACTACTGTTTTCATCAAATAATTTCTATGAATGGATCCGATGACAGTCGTGGCACCAATGTATAGGCGTTGGAACCTGGGGTGGCAGGTGAGAATGGGGGATATAGCCCCCTCCCCCACCACTTTTTTATGCAAAGATAGACAAAATATAGGCACTGAACATTGAGGCGCAGGTTTAGCACCCCCCCCCCCACACACACACGTGCACACTTTCATCAGCTAGGCACGTTGAAGTGCATGTATAGTCAAAGAAGAGAAAGTAAGTACATGTACTGAAAGAAGCTCGACACCCCCTAATTCCCCCAACCCTCACAGAATATAGGATTTGGACAATTAAAATTTTGATGTTCTCCTTTCCTTTTTTCACTTTTAATTAGCCACTCCTCCCCACAAGACAATATTTTTATTGAGTTTGAGTGAACTTGGGTTTTTGACCTCCTGATCTTGACAATGATTTAAGTCTAACCTACATTATTTTTAAATCGGTTAAGCTTTTGGATGAGAAAATTGAGACATGCAGGTTTTTTATATTTTGATTGAAAAAGACATGCAATTGACATCTTTTAAAAAAAATGACATCATTACCTTAAGTAACCTAAAAATTTAACCTATGTACTGTACACCTTTAAAAAATGTCAACTTTGGCCATAACTTTGACCCCCCCCCCCCCCCCCCCCAGAGAGAGAGAGAGAGAGAGAGAGAGAGAGAGAGAGAGAAGAAAAGAAAAAACTAAAAAGGGATTTCGATTCATATTTATTTTTAGCAGGTAATTTACTTGTGACAAGATCTTTCGGATTACTTTTGACTACCTCGCAAACACAGGCACCTGACGTTACTTATTTTTCTTTTTTAAAATAAAAAAATATACACATACCTATTAATTAACGTCTATTATTAGGTATTTGCATAATTTTTTTTTTTTAAAGAAAAATAAGTAACGCCAGGTGCATGTGCTCGCAACCTTGTTATATGCAATACAGATGTAATATTTTCCCGAAAAAATTACACTGTACATATATTTTAACCTTTTATTATATAGAGAATAATACATACCCTTTTCCATATCACATCCTGTATCAGCCCGATGACACCAATATCAGCCAGAGGGCCGAAGGCCCGAGGGTTGATATTGGTTAGGGCTATACAGGATGTGATGTGGAAAAGGGTATGTTTTATTATATTTATTACATACTTAGTAATAAAATACAGTTGAGAAGAAAATAAGTAAATAATAATGCATGGACTTCTTACATACTTGTACATAGTCTAATGTCTTATAAGATTTGGGTTTGTTTCTATTTCTATTTCAATGCACTTGATCCGTAATTTGAAAATATTCTATAGTATTACATGTATTTGTAAATTAAGATCAACCTTATTTTCAAAAAGTTAAAATTAAGAGAATATGAACCCACCAAAAATTGTGTATGAGTACAAGTACTGTTATTGTGGTTTTATTTACTAAGGGTGTGATATTGACGTCACAATAGCCGTATCAGCCCTGCAGGGCTGATATTGATTTGCAGGGCTGATACGGATATCAGCCCCGCAAATCCATATCAGCCCTGCAGGGTTGATACGGCTACTGTGATGTCAGCCATATCGCATATGCAAAAAACCTGTATTTATTACTAAGTGTGTAATAAATATATATAATATGTTTGTGGGGTATATAACTATATATCTATATATATATATATATATATATATTTTGTGCAAGAATGAGAAAGTTTGTACATGTTAACAGCATCCTTGGAATGCAGGGCTTCGATCCTGAGTCAACACGATGCCGTTGGTTCAACGAAATGTAGACCCAGGAGCTCTGACATTAATTTGAAGGTTAAAGTTGACAACAGACAGACAAACAGGCAAATAGATAAACAGACAAACAGACAGACAGGGCAAAAACAATATGCGCTCCGAAAAAATTCAGGCGAAATTATTTCCGAAACAAGTGCCTGTGGGAAGGATTGTAAAAAGGATTCAATACATTCTGGTAATCCTACTCAATTTCCCTGGAATCATATGCATCACTTTTTAAGAGAGAAAAAAAGAAATAAACTTTTTAAGACATTTTTTTCAATTCTTTTTAATGACATTTTCTTAACCACATACTTATGATATGGAATAAATATTGTCAATTTTACATTTTCAATGTCTCCATCCCAACTTGGATCCTTGATAGAATTAGAGCCACGGCATCAAAAATTGGGGCACAAAGACACATGGTGGAGGTCCCTACGAACATCTGACAGCACCCCATCACAATACTGCATCCACGAAACATTGGGGTGACGAACCACACCATGAAGAAAGTGAGGAAAGCGAAGGCGCAGCCCCAGACGGGAGCGATGAGACAAGAGAGTAGGGTGGTGAGGAATTTGTACAGGCAGCTCTTGCTGCAGTTAAAACACGTGAAGGTACAGTTCTCCCAGCAGCAGTCATAACTGTGTGCACCACTAGGTTCTGCTATCACTTCGTCAAATTCTACCTGAAATACATTTAGGGAAGACGCCTTTATTTTGAAAATGTTGAAGTCATATTGTCCTCTACAAAAATTTGAATTTTTCAATTAAAATTTGTATATGACAATTTAAAAACATGAAACATAAGCGCTAGCTTAATTTCAGAAACTAGAAAAATCTTTTAGAACAATAAAATTTCATCGTGATAATATAATAACGAATAGTTAGCGAAGGGACTAGGAGAAATTCGAATCAACCAATGAAAAAATTATCTATTAGGCTATGTATTATTAAGACGATATGTGTGAATATGTAATCCATATTTTAAATTGGAAACAATTCTGTTATTAGCTCCTTTTTCTTGGCTTTGTGCTCTGAATGATCGATGTACTCTGAAAACATGTACTATATGTACAATAATTCTTACATTAATTGTTATTATATCTAGCACTTAATCTTAATTTTTATTACCTTTGCATAGTAGCATTCAGATAATGGGGATGGGATGGGTGGTATTTTAATGTGGATTAAAAGAATTAAAACTGAAATAGTTGGTAAAATTAGCCACAAACTCTCCCCCCCTCCCCCGCCCAAACGTGTACCTTGAAGAATCATAAGCATAAAGGAAGACAGTTTGAAGTCCATTTTACGTATATAAAAGTTATAAACATTAAGCTTAAACAATTCACATCATTCATTCAATACCTTCACATGTGAATTTAATTCATGTGGATCTCTTTCAGCTAAATCCATGAAAAAAAAAAATTCTGCTTTCACTGAGAAACTATGTAGGTGTTAAACTTTATGACATTATTTCTTTTGTTTCCTAAAAATGTCTGACTGACAATGCATGCGTATTGTTACACAAAAGAAATTAAACAGAGCAAAAACTTTAAATTTATGAAAGTGAAATCGATAGGTCTAGTGGATTATAAGTCGGGCTCGACATTCCAGATTTTCTGAGCGGGGACCACAAATTACAAAACATATTCAAGGATTAAATTTGTACCGTTAACTCTCAATTCCCATCATTTAAGCAAAAACAAAGAGTGGAACTATGTCACAGATATACCTGAAAGTTCCGCAGATTTCAAAATCTTTGCTGACAAGGACTTTTAAACAGTGTTTGAGGAAGAAATTCCAAGCATGTTGCAGTACCTCTTCAGCGAACGAAAATACACAAACTTTTTCAATATCAAACACCAATCCAGGATTTTTAGAAGGGAAATTTATGGCTACTGACAAGTTTGGTAAACTAAATATCGACGTACCATTTGATATTCACATCGAATCCCTGAATCCAGACAAATATCCAGAAATGAACAAAATGTTTGTAAAATTATTTTATGTCCTACAACCTGATGAAAAGGTGGATTCTTCTGTATTGGTGGCCCTGAGGCAGTGCTATACGTTTAGTATGAACTTTCAAGATAAGAAAGAATTTACTGCCAAAGGCCATTTCAATTCAAAAGTGGAATACCCTGTAAAATGTGTTGTTCAACTCCCCATGAAATTTGGTTGGTACATGTAGTTGTCTGTATTTTACTTGTGTTAACATGTTATTTAAACAATTCTACACAAACTGTCAAAGAAACTTTTTTATTTTAAAAGTTTGAAACTTTAAACAAACTTATTTAATTTTTTAAATAATTTGAAATTCAAAATAACTTAACTCTTTACAACTTACTAAACTGTTAAGCAACATACACTTAATGTTCAAGTCATAGAAATAGAAATTTTCCATTTCCCTGCAAGCACCGTTTAGCGTGGTACACGTTTCTCTAAAGTTTAGCGTAAATAATATTATGACGTAATATTTTAATACAAAAATAACTTTTCTTATTTTAGGAGATTTTTGCAAGTATAAAATAGGACGAAATTGGCATTAAATTAAAAATTAAATGAACTTTTTAAAGTGCGTGAAAATGCGTGATTGCGGGGAAACAGTATATGCGTGATTTTGCGTTAGAAATAGGAAATGGTATATGCGTTAAAATGCGTGACTGCGGGGAACGGGGTTAAGAAATAACCAGAAATATTAAGTCTGAATACCTATACCTGTATACAAAAAGTATTTTTCTGTTTAATAATCTGTCATCCAACAGTGTTCCTTTACATTTCGATATTCACACAGATCTTGATGTAACAGCTAGAGGATGCAGAACTACTATTGAAAAGATGGAGAGTGAGAGGATCACAGTCAAAGCGAAGTCTGAGAGGGCGGCATCAACACAGTCAGTCTGTACTCTAAAGAATGTAAAGGTACCTTTACTGTACAGAAGAGTTACACAATGTAACTCAGCTTCCTGATGTTGAAACAGTCACCATTTTTAATACAGTAAATCAGACTTGTAATGAAGTGCAATGGACAAACAGGTCATCATCCTAGCAATGCAAAGGGTTGTGGGTCAACATGTTGCTGTGGGATCCCTGGTCAATTTCATTTAATATAATTTATTAAATTATTAGGGCTTGCTTCTCTCATTGAGAAAAAATTGTGTTACTATAATGTCCTTGAACTATAAATTGATTCAGTTGTTATTGTTAGATTATGAAGATGAACACTTGATGTTTTAGTGTGGTACTGTAGAAGTACAGGGTACAGATTGTGATGTTACAAGTGAGAAACTCCTACAGGGGAATTCCAAGATCATCCTAAAAGGACAAGGGGTAGGTCATCAAACAAACGGCACAACACTTTGTTTTACATCACTTTCAGGTTATTTATCATGTTTATAGATAATCACATGATAAATGATTTGAAAAATGGTACCTGAATGTAACACAGTGATCTCATAATTATTTCTATATAAAGTCCCATTTAGATGAATGTTCAAATGCGTAAATAAGTTTAAATTTTTAAGTTCATGGGAGCCATTGTTTTTGCAGAAATTGGTAATACAACAGTGTTTTGGTAGTACCAAAAGCTTAAGGATCATAAACCCTATCTTTCTCATATAAAATGTTTCATTAGTTCTTATGTTTTCCCAAGAGAAATGTATTTGTTAAGTTAAATACAAACAACTATAGCATTGCCTGTAGGGTAAAACTGGACAAAAAGGATACTTCAACTTGACAAATTTGTAAAGGAATTGTTGACATTCATGTCATTTTAAAGAGTTATCTCTCTCGTCAGAGTATAGATGAACCTCAATACTGTTGTACTTTTTTTACTTCAGAATATTACCACAGAGAGATTACTGGGATTAACAATTCAGTGTCAAACAGAAAATGGAGGCATCTCTGCAACCTCAGTGTACGGGGAAAACAATAGTTTCCATAGCAACACTGGAAATATCAGCCTTAGTAACTGTCATGGGAAAACTGAGGTCAAGGTCAATTCTGGAGATCTTAAAATTGGTAAATATTCAAAATCAGTACCTGTAATTTTTATAGCTTTAACAATCTGATAATTCATTGAAGGTATATGTACAAGACTCAATCAATATTAAAAAGACTAAAGGCTCAAGTGAGCTTTTCTGATTGAATTGTAAATCTGTCTAGCTGTCAGTCTGTGTACATGTATTAACTTTTCACTGATTGACTTGTTCTTGAGAACCATTTGACTATTTCAACCAAACTTAGCACAAAATATTGCTTGTAGAAGGGGATTTAAATTTGTTCAAATGTAGAGCCACTCCTTTTTGAAAGATGGGAAAATCATGTAAATAGAAAAAAAAGTGGATATTTTTAAAATATTCTTAATATTATTAAAGATATAACTATGCAATCCTCTTGAGATGGTTTGGATACAAGTTTGTTCATGGTCTCAGGCAATTGTGTGGAGCCAGAAACACAATAACTGCATGCTGTGATTATATAGTCACTTAGGTTGAAAACAAAGTCATTGTTAAAACACTTAGTTAGGCTTTTCTTGGATGATTTCATGGAGTACACTCAGCATTATGGAAGATTTGATTTTTGTGTTAAACAGATAATTTTCAAAACTGTGGACTGTGTGAGTTATTAATAATAAGATTTTTTTTTATTTTAAAGATGGCTTAGAGGGAGACTTTAATGGCACTGTCAATGAAGGAAACTCAGATCTGTACATAACAAAGCCAGAAAACATAGCCATGACAACAAATAAAGGTTTGTCTGAACTGAAGGTCATATTTCTTTTGGTTAATGATGTGCATCAACTTTTTTTCCTTATATGAGAAATATATGCAAGTTTGCAACCTTCTTTTACCTAGGAATATTTTTCTCCAAAAACCATTTATATGTTATTGTGTTCATTTAACTATGTAAGCAGATAAATTATACTACTGATGTATGTATCGCAGTTAGTGCTAAATGTACCGGTACATATATTAATTAGTTACTCAATTAAGTAATTTGAATCGTTCAAAGTTGAAGAACTTGTTAAACTGCTAATGCCCTGCTGTGTGCTCCTTGTCATGATCAGGAAATATATGGATATAAACTTAAAAAGCAGATTCATTTGTATATATTATTAAAAAAATCAAAATAAATGCAAACAAACAGATAATTTTTAAAAATAATCCTGAGGAGATCAGAAGCAGATTAATGAAATTTTTATTCCTTATCTTGAAATGAAAATTACCTATTACATGTATTAACTTTTATCAAAATAACACAGGGTTAAAGGTAGATAAATCTTTCATCTTTGTTGATTTGTCTGCAATATCATTAAATATGCTGGTCATTAACCTCAGATTTTGTATGCTTCTTTAACACATGCATATTTGTTCCCCAACTTGTACTTCAGTACAAGTGAGTAATAAGGTAAGTTTCTAAATCTGTATTTATTTTAAGTGTGGGAAACTTAGTGTAATTTTACCTAGAAAGATGAAAAAATGAAAGATGTTTCTTCATACAGAAAATCCATCATTCTTAGTGATAGGTAACATGTTCAGGATTAACTTTGTCATGTATTTTGTCAGCAGTTTTTGTTGAATAGATTTTGACTGATGACGGTCTGTGCCAGGGAGGACCTCTTTTAACACCTGTATTATAATTTTTCTGGCTTCATTATCATACGATCTAGTATTGGATATTTTTGTCCTTTATTCATGTTTTTTTTTTTTAAATGGGTCAGCTTAAAGAATGACAATTCATTCTGCAAAGAATTAGGTCAGTCTGATATCTTTTTTTTAATTCAAATTATCTGTAAGAGCTAAGAGCATAAGAAAATTTCTAGCTACACAAAGTTCAAAACAAAGACCAAAAGAATGAAAATAACATGATACAATGTATTTCCAAAATAAGAAGACATACAAAAAAATAGCATAATAGAAAAAAATGTTTAATGTGTTTTATATTTGATGATTGTCCCAGGGTCTGGGAAATTTCTCCACCTTAAAAGACGTAATCCACTGATTATTATGGTATATCCCAAAAACTCCCTATTAGGGATGAACCTTTAGTCCCCTTTCTCTTTTTTTTATTTTCCGTTTTAGTTTTTTTGTTTGGAACATTGACTCTGTATTCATTAGATATGAAATGCTAGTCAAAATCAAATTCTTTAAGACTAAACAGTTTGCAATTAAATTCTTTATACAATGTGCAACAGTTAGGTTTTCAATTCACATATATTAATAGACTTTTTTTAAAGCCATCTGCTTTTTGAATTTATGAGTATATATGCACAAATGCACAAATAAAGCGAAAATTTGCATGGTAATTCATTTCCACAAAGAATAGCTTTGAATGATAAAAAGATGGATATCTATATTTGCCTTTTCTTCTTTAAAATGAATATCTTTTCCAATAAAAATAAAACTGTTGAGAAGACTTCCCCTTTTCGCATATTAGTTTCTTTTATGATATAGTCAAATACGTGAAAGGGAACAAAGTTTTATACAAAAAACACCACAGGCACTTGACGTTACTTATTTTTCTTTTAATAGAGAAATATACCCCTTGCGTAATATTAGGGATATATTTTTTTTTATTAAAAGAAAAATAATTAACGTCAAGTGCCTGCGAAAAACACAGCTTCACATATTTATAAACCTATAGAAAAAGTTTCTACCTGTTTCTTACTCTTTATGGTTCACCAAGTTCTTAGGCTATCATAATTATTCTCCATCAATAATGAAAAATGTGAAGGAAACGAACAGTAATCGATCTTACGATCGTAAACCCTTACAACAATACGTATTTGAAATCAAAGCATAAAGTAAGGCCCTCTAGAAAACTTAATCGTGTGCCGAGGAAGAGTAACCTTGCCCTTTCGAAAGACTTCATTCGCTGTGAGCCTTCTGTCCTTAATTCTGCATGGATCAGGTAAACCCAGAGTAATCCGACGTCAAAATCTATGAAAAAGTTGACTTAATAATTGGTATAAAACACTAAAAACAGTCAGTGAGAAAAAAAACAATGCTAGGATGAATTTGCAAAGCAAGAGGTCATATTATATATACCATAATTTGCAAAATTCATAGTACTTGAAATGAGATTCTTAAAATTTTCAAAAATGTAATCTTACCGAATCTACCAAAGCCTCTATCAACATCAAAGTTGTTCAAAAATACCCAAAACATGCTCTTGTGTATCAATAAATTTGAAAACAAAAACATCAAATTGTGATGTTTTTGCTTTAGGAACAGTTAGGGGCAGTTTTCGTCATTACGTGTAAAACTCACTGATAAGAAGTACATGTATTGTTCACATGTATATATACTTATAAGTTTAAGAAAATTATGTCCATCACAAAAGTGGACTCACTGTTAAAGCTGTCTTTGTTTTGCTAAAAAGACATTGGCCTGCTTTCAGTAACATTTTTTAATTGACACTACTCTTCCATGCCTGAATTTGTATTTTGTATATATGTAAATATGTTCCTGTACCTCATACACCATTGTATATGGTCTGAGAGTAAATAAATAAAGAAAACAAACAATGCAGAAGCTTTTTTTACATACTTTAAATGTCTACAGATAATAAGGCATCCAAATATGAAACAGATGACATAGCATTTATGGTATTTTTTTTCATTCTGAGTTCCCTGAAATACTAGGTGATGACATTTGGATGAAATTAAATATTGTAAAAAGATAAAACGTCATCGATATACACATTTTTTCAAAGTTCAAATTAAAACCCCAATTAGGAACTTTTATTAAAAATGAGATGCATATAAAAATCATCATATAAAATCATTATATATGAAATAGTCGGGCTATAATCTCTAAATATAAAGTATCATTTTTAATAGTTTACTAACATTCTTACTCCTAAAACTTATAGACCCAGAACATTCAGTTCACGTTTTAAAGTACACTTTTATCAAAGAAATTTGTTTTGGAGTATCTTTTATCAGCGCATAAAAATCATCACATTTTACAACCATTGAAATCAACATGATATTAAATTTCTTTTTCAGTTAACATTACCCTATAAAATTCACCCACATATAATAATTGTCAATTTAAATACACAGGTCATGCAAATAGACAATGGAAATGTAGGAAAAAGGGGAACTATAGAAGTTGGTGCTGGCAAGGTTAATTCTTTTATTGCAGGAAACATAGCACTGAAAGTTCAAGGAGAAGTCAACGCTTCTTTTGATCTTAATGGGTCAAAGGTCACCTACGATACTTCTCTCTCATTTAATGAACTAAAATTTTCTGAAGATGACCCTAGATCATTTAAAGGTAAGGAAAGAAACTTTTCAACTCTAGTTTGAAGTTATTTCAATTTGCAACCTTTCGTTTTAAAACGAAAAGAAACGAGAAAGCTCAAAATTTTCTTTGTACTTTTTTCCTTTGCCATTTTTTTGAAGTACATAATAACAAACAAGAGTAGAACTCAACGTTTTAAATATATTTGAAAATTTTCAGTGAATTTAAAAAAAAAAACAAACTTTTATTTTGTAGGTTCCCTTGGTGAAGGGGGTGGTAATATCTCTGCTACAACCGCATCTGGAAGCATTAATGTGGAATCATTTGATTGGTTAAAATCACTCAACCTGAAAAGTGGAGAATGAATAACATGTGTAAAGAAAATATCATTTATAAATCTGTTTTATGATATGTTTGATATTAAAATTCTGTTTCATAAACAAAGTCAGGTTTTCATTTGATATACCCTTAAAAAGTCATATGTACATCTACTTCAAACTCCTTTAAATGGGAACTTAATTTCCAAGAGAAAGGTTCCGAAAAAATTCTTCCAAATGTCAATATTGACAAATTAACAATTATGTTAAAAAACACTTTTTTGCATCAGGGGCTGTTGATAAACTTTAGGATGTTTAATTGTTTGATCAAGGTCATTAGCAGGAAAGAACGATATTCATGTCACCACCGACCTGCTTAATATTGCTGATGTTTAAGGTAAGTCACTCCTGAAATTTGTTAAATCAAGGATTTTTTGAGAAGTACATTTTGGATAAGTACTCATAAAGTGTAACTCAGAATCGCAAAGAAATTAGGGGTCGGTATGCATCCTATTGATCTACGGTACATTTAAGTTGACCTTTTTGCACTTAAATTTCATCTCTTTGGTTAATTACTTTAACCCTTATTATATTTGATCAGATGTAAGCATGGCAATAAATATTATCTTATTTTACGTAAAATAGTTTGAAAAATATTTATCATTAAACAAATCTTGCAAATTAATAAGCGTAAATTATTGTGTGACCTTTTTGCACTAAAAATAACATATTTGGGGCATTAAAAAACTTATTAGGCAATAAAAAATTTTCTTATATCAAACTTTTTACGACTTAAGCGCTGATCAGTCACAAGTATCGAGTAGTTTAAAATAATGAAAGAAAAAGGTGGGGTCAGTGATGTTAATTTTGAAATATTTGTCAAAATATGTGATTTTCAGGCAAAAAATGGTGTAAATTTGATCTTGACTTCTTTAATATATTTTCATTCTTTTGGAAAAGTTTGTTGAGGGAAGGTGTAAAACTTTGTCTAAAAATATAAATTAAGACCTATATTAAATATTTTTAGCAATATCAAAACGGAAAATATTCTCCGAGTAAAAGTATGTGAGGCTAAATTTCCATTACATTAAATTTTGTAAATGTGCAGATTTGCAGAATTTTCTGCTAAATATCTTTCCACCAAAAGAAATAGTCCCTCATAAATCTTGCCTCTTTGTAGATTTTTGAGCAGTTTTTTCATTGAATGTTAAAAAATTTACATTGTTGAATTTAAATATGTTATAAAAATTGAATTTTAATAAGTAGTTTTGAAGTAAAAACTTCTGCGTGAACTTTTCTAAAAAGCTGACGAGTGACTTACCTTAATATTACATTGTAAAATGATTTATCAGCAGTGAATATATGCAAGCATTTTTTGCATATGACCCAATTAACACACATTTTGTAGTACATATATATATTTCAACTTTGGTGGTCTGATTAATATCTGTATGTAGTCTAAAAAATACGTTGTCATCTTATTGGCTTAGCTACCAATTTCATTACATATTTCTGTTCCAAAATAACAAAGCATAAATTGTATTTATTAACCAGCCAGTTAAAGTCATTGCTTCAAACATAACGGTTTCCTCAAGTCTTCTGATCAAAGATATGTTACATCCAATAGCCGCACACTTTGTACATAATGAAAAGCAATTGAAATGAAATATGTAGATAGCGAACAATAATTAAGCTTACGAGTTCATTGAAACGATCCTTTGGAGCAGAGTAAACGTAGACCTCTAAAAACTCCCGAAATGGAATTAGGTGCCATGGATAAAAAGTATCCCTGATCGACCGCTTACAACCACTTTGAATTGTCATGAATGAAGTAGAATTAGTGAATTGTTGAGCAGATTGAGTTAAAATATTTCGTGTTACAAATAAATCATCGGAAGTTGTGAGCAATCTACTAACTTTTTAATTGCAGTCAATTTAAGAATGATAAAATGCTACGTATAATTAAGAATTTAAAGGATGAAGTTTTTTCTTTATAAAGAATACGGGACCAGAGTTTGGTGCTAAAATATGATGGAAACCTGGCTAACAAATTAATATTCATCTTGGCATCAGTGAAAAATAAATCACTGTAAAATTAACAATTTGACATTTGCAAATATTACGAAATAAATTGTAACATTGCCATTTGATTAGGGAGGACATATATTGAACAATAAGATCAACAATCAAACAGGAAAGAGTAATAAAACTATAAGGAAGCTGAATTATCTGAATATTACCTTACGTTTAATTTTAACCCCTTTTGGTTAACCGCTTTTAAAACTATCAAACCGAAAAACCGAGAAAAATAATAGAAAATTCTCAATATTTTTTTTAATTATAAATGATTTAATAATTAACATGAAATGCAACACAGTTTTCAATTTACTGTAAATATTTTTATTGAAAACATTTTAAATTTATTTTTACTTTGTTTTGACACTCACTTTAAACTAATATGAACTTCAGTATAAACATTTCTTTATATTATATTTTTTACGGACGTTTTATGCTGGTGTAGCGCATATTCATTTTTCATTAAAAAATATCATTCATTTACATGATGCATGTCAATGCATTAATCATAAAATTTATCGAAGTATCGAATTTTAGTAAGCAGAAAGACCCAAGATTATTAATGATTTCTAAGAGTAATTCATGGATATCGTTCAGTTGATGATTTGCAGTTTATCGAGATAATATACTTCTTTATAGGTATGATTATAAGACAATATCATTTCAATAGAAATTTTCGTTCGCTTTAAAGGGATAGAATTCATCATCTTTTACTGAGAACATAAAATTGCTTACTAAATATAATTAGTATGATTTATGATAATTCACAGATTTATCAATGAATCATAAATCAGCTATTGACGGAAGTTGACATTTTGGGGGCGAGATATTTGAATATTTCAGAAGTGGGCTAATGACTAATTGCTGATGAGAGCGATTTAGTTAGCCTAAGTCTTATTCTCTAACAGGGAAGTTGATAAAGAATACGGAACTATTGAGACATCTTAATTCAGTAACTACATGTATATTTATTTATGCTTATTACAAAATAACATCAAATAAAAAGAAGAAATTTTTTTTATTCTGGAATGCATCCAAGAGAAGTTTTATTTATAGATGCTAAATTATGTATTTCTATTTTCAAATTCCTTTTTTTTATGCAGCAATATACCTTTATCGCCTGCATATGGAGAATATATCTTTCAGTAAATTCGATACGCAAGAGCATGCTCTACGTATGTTCAATTTTTAAAATGAGCAAAATTATTGTCAAAGAAGTTGATGAAACAAGGATATTTGCAGTCTCGTTAAGAGTCGATACAATGACCTTGTCAGCAAATACAATTTATCATTGAGTCAAATGCTCACTGAAATTTTTAATATCAACTGTTGGTTCATTATTTATACACTATATTGACGACGGATTTTCCATTATAACCCGATCATGACAAGGAGCACAGAGCGGGTGTGACCGGTCGGATGCTCACTCCTCAATGGCACCTGGCCCAGGGGCCATAAAACTTAGACGAGCTCACTTTTGATCTCAGTCTCACTTTTACCAAAGGAATATATAGCGGAGAAGTGAGACTTCGATCAAAAGTGAGCTCGTCTAAGTTTTATGGCCTCCAGGCCTGATCCCACTTTTCATGTTATGGGGGTCCTTGTTTGTTCTGCTCATATTTGGTATTGTTTTATGGACTATTCATCTTAAATACATTTCATTATTTCCATATGTTTCTTGTAGCTAACCGTTGTGTTAACTATTTGTTTGCAATCCTTCGTATATTCCCTCTAAAGGTGTCTCTGTTTCTGTCAGCTGACTGTTTACTGAATGCCAACGTTCAGAACATTCAGTAAATGCTAACCCTGAATGTTAGGATTAAGTAATCATCATGTACATTTACGCATTATTCCTCTCAAAGCCATTCAGAAATCTATAGGTAGAGCAATTTAAGGTACCCGTACGTCGCCAGCAATAGCACTTGTAAATACATACATTAAACTAATGGTATTTTGTCTTTGCATCGAATATTATACGAGCAATTATTGTAAAAAGTATTTTACCAAAAGACATTCCTTCAAGTGAGCCAAATATCTAGTCCCTACCTCTAAAACTTCTCAAGTTATAAGGTGTGGCAGTGGATCGAATGACGGACAGACAAACGCCTAATAGAGTCAGCCCTTGGTGTCTGCTTTGCAGGAGACACAACAATTCAAATTTCAGAACCTTTTTCTAAATGATATCAATGCTCCGTTAATTAATTATTTAGTAATTGAAAGTCATTGGATACCACTCTGACACAACTACCATGCCAATGGTGTTTATATTTTACCAATTACACAAACCTGTGACAATGAGGAGGTGCTAATCAAGTGTCTTTTTGATTTATATTCATTAACCACAAAACGAAAGCAGATAACGATTTCATGGTTTATGTGGTTTTGTACGAATGAGTGAATTGGGAATAATTTCTATCGATTGATTAGTCATAGAGTGATTTGAACACCTGTTTAAGTTTATATTAATTATTTGTTGGATATAGGGTGGAGTAGTTTTTCATGCATTGGGGGAAAATCATCACACCTGTATTGTGTCGAGAAAGCTTTTAATAAACGCATTATTTTTTTAAAATATACTTCAAATATGCTTGATAATATACATTTATATCTCCGCTATTATTTACATGTAATGAACTCAACATATTTAATTTTATGTTAATTTTAGAACATACTCATTACAACCTTGACCTTGAATATAATCCACTTTTATTTTTAAAGTTAAAGCATAATTATGTACCAGTCAGTGCTTGAAAGATATCATGTTTAAGATAGAAAAAAGTTAATTACTATAGTAGGTAGATTTAAATTTGTTTTTGAAATGAACATGACTCACTAGATTCCTTTGCCCTGCGTGGGAAAATCTGTCAAAGCTATATATATGCTATTTTTTCAAATTTATTAATGCATGCAACAGATATGTTAATAATGGATACATCACTGTTTAACTTGACCTTATACATTTTTACACTTACCTTTCGTACTCTCCAGATTAACACTTCATAACGTTTGAACGTATTATTATTATTTTTTAATTGTTTGCTTTATGTCCAGGACGTATCCAAATTCCGATTTCTCATCTTTTAGCTTGCAAGACAATGCTTTTTCACTGATATGAAAAACATATATTTTCGAAAAGAAAAAAAATCCC